GCTCTACCACTGTTATTACTTTAGAGATGCTTAATGTTGCTCTATGGTTGTGTAAGTAACACTCAAGTAAGCGATAACAAATGATTAAAATAACTCCGTGTATTATTATGCAGTTTTTTCAAGTGTTAAATTATATATCCTATTTGACATGTCAACTTTTTACAATAAATTAGCAATATTATACGATCGAACACTAATTCCATGAATATGTTACCGGCCAAACCCGATTTTGGGACCAACTACTTTTTCCTAGGCAAAACTAGTTTTTCCTCAACCTGACGGGATTAATTAGATGTCCGCCTCGGTCCACTGCGGTCGCAATTAAATCTACTGTCACTGATATGACTTCATCGGTGCTTTTGTATTTTTAACATTTTCATTCACTAATTCAACAGTATTTAACATAACATAACATAACATAAACACTCACGCCTGTCACCCAGAGGGGTAGGCAGAGACTACGGACTTCCATTTAGCGCGATCCTGACAGACCTCTCTCGCCTCTTTTACATCCATATATCTACGCATACACGCTCGTCGGTTAAGGGTACTCCTAATCTGGCCCATTTTTAATGTATCGCCGATTTGGTCGATAAACCTTCGTCTAGGGCGTCCTTTCCCGACCCTGCCGTTCACTTCTGCAACATAAATTTGCTTAGTCACTCTTTCCTCGTTCATTCTTTCTACATGACCAAACCACCGAAGCATTCCTTTCTTAATCCTTGTCACAACGTCATCTTGCAAACCACACTTTTCTCTTATCACACTATTTTTTTAACAGTATTTAATAGTTCTTTTTATACATTAGCAGTCAGGAATTTATTTAAGGAATGTCCAGTTTGTTGTAAAATCGGGTTTGGCCGGAAGATACAACAGGAAACAAGTTAGGAGGCCAGCTTAGTCCTCACAAGCTCCTGTCGCGGTGTATTTGTGACCTGTTACCCTCAGGTGGACTGCATGAGCTAACCATCACTAGATTGCTCTCGACCCGTTTGGATAGTGTTTAATTTCGTTTTCATTTGTTGCAGAGGCATCAGTACAGAGCGCGGAGAGCAGGCGGACTGTCGCGTCGGGAGCAGGCGGCTGCCGACGAGCGTGCATGACGCTACACACACCGAGCAATACTGCCCGCAGGTGAACCTACTCCTCAAAATGATCCTCCATTTCCACTTGCACTGACAACATCCGATCACGCCAGTTCGACGAATTAGGGAAATCACAATGAGGGTTTCTTATGTTGACGCGAACTCTACACATTGAATAAAACTACTTCTACGGATTTTATCGCTTTTAATTTTACTTATTTTTAATTCCTGATGTTTCGGGTGCTTCGGTGCACTGCTTTACTCATTCACGAAATTCAAGATGCATCCGATATCAATCCGAAAACAATACTGTGGTTTTGTCGATATATCGGCATCGGTGATATTTTTATGGCCGATACAACAATACCTTTCAAATTCAAGATCGCCATTCTCTAAATATATCGAAAGACGTAGATCCGCTTGTTTTCTGGCGCAAGTACTACTGCCACATTTTTTTTGCCACAGTTTGGGTGTAAGACGACATCCAAACATGAAAAAAATGTCGCAGAAGTACTCTTAAGTTTCCAATGAGTTCTGTCGCATCTGAGAGACTATTTATATATTACTATTTATTCACCGCAGGTTTCATTAAAAGATACTTGCAAACGCGCCTTTTTCTGCACAATTTAAGAATATCTCCCTTTAGTCCCTTAAATATCTCGACGGACCGACCAGCACCATGTTTTACATGGTAGAGCCACGCTGCAGCAGCATATTATGGTTGTAGCACGAATGGGTCGGCACGACCATGGGTAGGACCACGCTGTCAAAGAATACCAGCGTAAAATAACAGCTTAATGCTGCTGTGTTTCGTATTGTGCGTGTAGAGAACCGGAGACCCTTTTTACAGGAAACTAGGCATTCCATCTCAATCCTCACTCCTCAGGGGTAGCAACGCATCTGCCTTTTGATTTTTAAACGGGGATGAATGTAGATGTCTATGGGCCACAGCATCCACTTACCATCGTACGTGAACTGTGTGCTTGTTTGTCACCCTTATTCTATACTAGTTGACCCGGCGAACTTCGTACCGCCTAACAGTCGATTCTGTATTCTTTTTTTAATACTTATTCTGCTTTTCGGGACACCTGGTCAGCTAGTAATATATAAAAGAAAAAAAGACAGTTGATAAGTCAACAATTACCTTATGTCAAAAAATAAAAATTATAAAACACTTAAAATTCTTTTAATAGTCACTAAAAATCACAATGAAAAGTACAATTTCTGATTTCTTATTATGATACATACGTACTTATTATATTTCATTTTATTTTTACTTATTCTAAATTAAGTTTCCATCGTATAAATATTGACAAATATAAATATACGATATGATACGATACGATATAATATTTATACGATACTGACGTCACTCAATTGTTTTGCCTTCCCGGGAATCCCTCCACTAACACTTAAACTTTATGGTATGGTATTAAAGTTCAAATTGACTTTTAAATATTATTACGAATCTTTTGTATGGGAATATAGAAAAGTGTTGTTTTTAGACTTTATCAGGCAATTTTTTAAATTTTTCTCTCCGTAAGAACAATCTTCGTACTTCAAGGAATATTATAAAAAATAAATTAACGAAATCGGTTCAGCTGCTCTCGAGATTTGCGCTTAGCAACACATTCAGCGATTCATTTTTATATTATAGATAAAAAAATGTGCCCGAAATTTCCAAGCCTGCCGATTTAATATTGCTAATACGAACGTTAAGTAAAATATTAACTCGATTTATACAGAAACATAAAAAAACAAGACTTATTTTATAGACAATAGGAGTACAATTTCAACAAAAAGTTTTATGTTTTATTTTTAGAGACTTAAAGACTTAAGTTTGCACCAATATACGAATATGTGAAAATCATACTTTTTCAATTAACGGACACACTTATTTAACTGCACTCTTTTTGTTGTTATATGTAGCGTTGTGTAACGAAAACGAATCTTTGAAAATAATTTTCCAGAAACTATTTATTATAACTAGTTTTCATTTAGAAATTTTCTTGAGAGGGAAATTTGCCATTGTTACTTCTTTATAGAAAAGGTTGAAGAGCACATAGTCCACTTGATGCTGAAACTGAGTAGCTGGAATTAGTTTGTACAATTCCTCTAAGTAAATATCTTCACAGCGCCTATGTTCAGGAAGCTCACGGAATACCAGCATCAAATAGCAGCTTCATGCTGCTGTGTTTCGTATGGTGAGTGTAGAGAACCGGAGACCCTTTTTACTGGAAAAGAGGCATTCCATCTTAGTCCTCACGGGTGACACGCATCTGCATTTTGATTCGCAAACGAGGATAGATGTAGATGTCTATGGGCCACAGCAACCACTTACCATCAGATGGACTGTGTGCTCGCTTGTCACCCTATCCTATAAAAAAAAGCTCGTCTACTTTGGTGTCACTGCAGTTCACATATGTATACCAGAGAAAATAATCTCGCGAGTAATGACAGCTTAATGTACATTACATATTGCATATTATATCTTACCGTGTACTGGCGGTGTAAGTATATTCACTACCCCATATCATGTCATGAGTGACGTAAGAGGCGACGGAGGGAAACAAATCAGTAGATGAGAAACAGCGTCTGCCTAACAATGACTTAAAATAAAAAACTGCGGTTGCCAACCCGCTCGCCAAGCGTGGCAAGTATGGCAAATATCCCCTCTATGAGACAATATAGCGGGAGGTTTTGTACAGCAGTAGTCGTCTTTGATAGCCTGTAACGGTATACGTATGTGAACGGTGCAGTCGCACTAAACTCCACGAGTTGGCTGAACTCAAGCCGATTGGTGGTTGTGGAACGTTGATTGCAGAGCGTCGAAGTTGAGCAGCAGCAGGCACCGGAAGCTGCTGCCGCTGCGGCAGACGTGACTGGCGCGCGCGCGGGCCCACGCCCAGCCCGCGGCCCGCTGCCGCCCCCCGCGCGCACTCGCGCGCCGCTAGTGCCACAGGTGCCACACCTGCCACACTACATACTACACACCACACCACACACTACACACCGCACACACCACACACTAAACACCGCACACACCACAGTACACATACACACTACACTCCACACAGTACACACGACATACCTACACATCCCACACCACACCATACACTACACACCACACCCAGAATTACGTTCGAAAGTATTATCTATACATTGCGTTATATAGTTATATACACACAGATGCGTTAATAGTTTACCTTAGAATCAGATATGTGCCAACTCTGAACGAACTGTGCTCAAGTTAACTCGAGTTGAAATTCACGTAACTAATTTGAGTTACACAACTTTAATTGGGAGGACGAAAGTGATTGATATATTTGTTCTTTAATCCATATAGAGTGATAGGGATTAAAAAAGTTGTTAGCAGTCTTCGCAAAATAACATCTGATCAGTCTTATGTTATGATGTAGGTTTTCACTATTAATAATTCATAATCATCATCATCATCAATACAACCCATCAAAAGTCCACCGCTGAACATATTATCCCTCCCCCTTAGGTTGCCTCGTATGGGGAATATTTGCCATAATTGCCACGCTTGGCGCCCGGCAGCCGCCATTTTATATTTCCTTGGGGGTGAATGGTTGAAAATATAAATTTTTTATTTTGTTAATGATATTACAAAGAAGCTGCTGCCCATCTCTTGTTTTGTTTCCCTCTGTCGTCTCTTACGACACCCACGGGGCGGTATGGAGTAGTGGATATTCTTATATTAGAATATTAGCTGTCAGAAAGTGTTATAAATTAAAAATTGAATATTTACACAAAGAAGTATTATTTATGTTTATATTATCTCATAATCGGGGCACTTACCACAGCGTTGTTTCAGGTGCAGTGTCAACAGCGAGCCATCCCCAGGATAATTATTTAGTTTTATATAGTAGTGCAAGTGTATAGAAATCAGCCATGGGGTCCGTAAACGTGAACCGGAACGTAGCGGACGCGTTCTACCGCTACAAGATGCCGCGCATATGCGCCAAGGTTGAGGGCAAAGGCAACGGCATCAAGACCGTCATCGTCAACATGCCGGAGGTCGCCAAGGCACTTGGCAGGCCAGCCACCTGTGAGTACCATGTCCTAACTTTTTCAAGGTCAAACGTGTTAGGAATTAATTTGCTAAGATCCGGGTAATAAAATAATATGATGTGTCTTACCTAGTTTGAAGAGCGCCTCCCGCCCTCCCTCAATCGTGTGCACTATCACCGTCACCACTAATCCCAACACCACTACACTAGAAAAGACACCACCGTCGATAATACGACACGTGTTTGCCTCTAAACGAGGCATTCTCAGGTGAAGTAGACTGCGTGGCTGAGCGCTCGGTCATTTTATTTCATTCCGACGGTTAGCGAATAAATTTTTAACATCTTTAATATAATGGATTTCCGCAAAGTAACGCCTGATTCTATTAAAATTATATTATTCATATCATAGCTGCATCAGAGCAGCTGTTTTTCGATTTGGCTGGGTACCCTAAATTGAACTTAAATCATATGTCAATGGATACTATAATCATGCCTCGATCTAGCGTTGATAGCGACACTGAGAGAACAAGCGCGGGTCAGGGTTAGCGGAAGTGGGTGGGGTGATCATCGGCAAACCTGTTCGTTGCTGAGGGACGGGCGGCGGGGAGGGGTTAGTGATTATAATGATCACAAGTACCTATCCTGAAAAATTCTTGGCGTACTAAAGCATTGAAAAAAGTGGAACGCCTTTAAAACAGAATTGTTTTTTTTTTTACAATAGACTGTGGGTTACAGAAAAAAACTAGTAACGATTATAAATGACCATTTCTGTCTAGCCATTTTATTTTTTCAATTTTTAATTCAATCTGCACCGTATTAAGTCTCCGAGGGAGCGGGGACCAACGTTTATACCCTCCATAAAGCGTGCTCAGCTGGTTTTCATGACATGAACATGAATAAAATAGGCGACACACGATAGGCAAATTGTATATTTAAAAGGAATGAAAAATACAAAATATTTGGTGGCGATCGGGTCGCGAGCTATCGGCAAGTGCCGGTCTTAGGCGCGGTGGTGAGAAATCCCCCCGCACTTCACATACTCCCCGCAAACACCGTCGGTGCTGTCGTAACGGCGCCGACACTACTCGCGTCGTAAACGCGAGCGGGTGTTTTTGTTGAAATCGTTTTTGTAACATTTGAATAAATTTTTGTTTATGGATTTCAATTATTACTTTGTACGTTTTTAATTTCGGAGACTAAAATTATATTTCATGTGCTGCTACTTTTTGGCATAGTTAGAAACATCCAGGAAATGGTTGTATTTCATTGGATATTATTTATAATCGAAGTTTTATCGCCGCATGTCGACATAACTAGTAATTATTACCCTTTGTGTAATAGTGGTGAAGGATATCCACTACTCCATATCGTCCACTGGGTGTATTAAGAGGCGACAGAGGGAATGGAAAAAAGCGGGGATGGGCAGCAATTCTTCCTGATAAAAACTCAAAAATAATAAACACTGCAGTTGCTAAACCGAATGTGGCAACTATGGCGAAATCCCCCTATGAGGCAATCTATGGGGGAGGCCTATGTTCAGGAGTGAACTTTTATAGGCTGTAATATAGATTGATTATTGTTACTGTATGGTATCTGGAAGACACTTTTGTCTTCTTCAGCTTTAGTTTCCCCCTATCCTCTTTTGACACCCATAAAATGATATAGGATGCTCTTAAGTCGCCGCTAAACGGTTTTGTTATTTAAGAGTTTGGTATTAAACATCATTTAATTTCTTTCAGACCCTACAAAGTACTTCGGGTGCGAGCTGGGTGCTCAGACGCAGTTCGACTTCAAAAACGAACGTTTCATTGTCAACGGCAGCCACGACTCCGCCAAGCTTCAGGACCTGCTGGACGGGTAAGTAACTTTGTACATTTATTTAAATTTTCGTAAATATATTCGATTATCACCGATCAAGGGATCAGTACACTAACCCTTTGTATGCCATTAACTAAATAGAGTAGATGACCTGGTAGCACATGCAGGAAGTCCTTGTTTTGTGGTATTCCTTGGGGAAAACATGAGCTCAGCTGCTAACCTGTAAAGGTCTGAAATGATGACAATGATGATGAAATATATTTGATAAATCAAGTACAGCATATTATGTAGACACTCAAACATTATTTATATTTGTCCTAACTTATATTCCAGTGATAAGAGCCAAGCTGTTAAATATATGATAATATTATGATTTATTAATTTGCGTATTACAGGTTCATTCGCAAGTTTGTGCTGTGCCCGGAGTGTGACAACCCGGAGACTGAGCTGATCGTGTCGACGAAGCGCAACAGCATCTCGCAGGGCTGCAAGGCTTGCGGCTACCATGGGGCGTTGGACTTCAACCACAAGCTCAACACCTTTATACTAAAGAATCCTCCCGCAGCCGACCCTAGCGTGCAGGTGACCACACGCACCCAGCTCCCGCAACCTTTGTGCTCTGCACCACACACCGCACAACACCCAATTCTATCCCAAACTTGTCAAAAGACAATACCTCGATTTATACGTGGTAGAGCCACGCTGCATCTATATTCTGGTTGTAGCACGAATGGGCTGGCTCGACCAGGGAAGGACCACACTCTCACAGAATACCAGTGTGAAATAGCAGCTTAATGCTGCTGAGTTTCATATAGTTAGTGTAGAGAACTGACCCTTATTACTGGAAACGAGGCATTCTATCATAGTCCACACGGGTGACAATGTATCTGCATTTTGATTCTTAATCAAGGATAAATGTAGATGTCTATGGGCCTCAACATCCATTTACCATCAAGTGGACTGTTCTTGTTTGTCACCCTTATTGTATAAAAAAAAAAGTTACTCAGAGAACCTTATTTACAAACTATTCTAATTGATTCGGATCAGTTGTCATCTCTAGTCTAAATGCAAAACAAGACAGTTTTGCCATATAGAGTTACATAAGTGTGCGAACCTGTTATTGGAATATTCTCACTGAGACATTTCTGTTCCGCCTGTTTAGACTATTCTAGATACATGATGCAATATCAGTAAGAAAATATTTTACCCACACGTATCCGAAAACATTTTTCATCAGGATTTTAGCCCGATCAAAAAGTCGCATGTTAGTGTACAATAACGAAGTTTCTTACTTCCAGGGCTCGTCACTAACGGAGGGTAATAGGGGCAAGCGGTCTAAGCGCTCAGGACCTCCAGCCAATGGTAACCATGATGGGCAAGAAAACAACGACGCCAAGAACGTAAGTATATTGTAATACTTCTTTATCCATTTGGATATGATATCAGATTTGTATGAGTAATATTTCGCTTTACAGAAAAATTACAAAAAAGTTTTATGGACCAATTCATAAACGATTTTTGATAACCGAAAGATGTGTTTGTACCCTATGTGAGCCCACTCTAATATAAAACTATAATAATATACAATACGTGACAGTTTTAAATTTTTTGGAATGAAGTTCCTTATCGGATGGTACGGGTTTGGCGAATGGGAGCTTGGCGACAAAAAGTGTAAGATTTTATCGTCACTACCCCTTGTGTTATACTGTAGACGGACTTGGCGGCGAAATAAGGAAGTGAGATGGAACAATATACATCTCCCTCGCACTTTTTCTTATCTTGACATGAAAGAAATATTATTTTATTTCAAATGACGCTTCATTTTAATAGACGCTAGTAATTAATTTTTTTTGTATTTTGTTAATCAATAATAGAATACCTACGTTTATCAATAATAATATACTACGCGAGGAACTTCGTTCCAACCGAGTGTTCCATGACACTCACGTATTTATTTTAATTTAATGTATGCTCTCCAGTGTTGTGAATTTACCGTGTTCAAAACTTCAAAACAAGTTTTCAATTCCACTGTAGGTTCTTTTTTGTATGTATGTTATGTAACATCTTAGTAAATTGTAAGTTAATTTTAATGACTCTATTTAATTAATTCACCCCTAATGTCTGTCTGTTTTGGTGTGCAATAAAGTGTTATCTATTTATTTTTTATTTTAGTATAAAGAAAAATAATCAATAAATAATACTTAGTTACGACTTTGTCTTATTTTATTATTCTGCTTCTATTTCGATATAATTTGTCTCTGGATGCCCAACTTACAATTATTATTTATTAACTGGAGAAAAAAAAGATAATTTTGCTTTTAAAAACTTATGATTAATTAACAATTGCACTTTTGAACTCTACGCTTATCATTCAATATATAGAGGTTGATTAAATCATTAGGATTTTCTTATCAACTTAGAAATCCCTAATATTGCTGATGCATTTTTGGAATACTTTCAGGAGGGTGATGCCCCAATTACACCGACCACTCCCAACCCGAAGAGCAGCAAAAAGGACAAGGAAAAGGCTAAGCATGACGATGACGACGATGGCACCTGGACCGTCGACGTCAGCGAGGAGGCGGTACGCGCTCGCATGCAAGGTATTGTTAAATCGGAAATATTAGTACACACCGTAAAAGCCCACTGTTGAACATAGCCTCTCCCATTTAAGGGAGGATCCCGTTGTATCACGGATGGGTCGGCTCGAGTGGGGTAGGACCACGCTCTCACAGAATACCAGCGTAAAATGCAGCTTATTGCTTTTGTTTCGTATGGTGAGAGTAGAGAATAGGAGAACTTTTTTACTGGAAACAAAGCATTCCATCTTTAGTCCTCAGGAGTGACAGTGTGTCTGCATTTTGATTCTTAATCGAGGATAAATGTAGGCTATGGGCCATAGCATCCATTTACTATCATGTTTACTGTGTGCTCGTTTGTCACTCTTATTCTATAAAAAAAGGATTTGCTTTAGCGTCACATTTAACATTGGCAGAAGGATTAAAGATTGTAGTACCAGATAGCACTTTTGACGCAGCTGCTGACGAAAAGGGGGTGGTGGATTCTCATAAATTGTAATAACACGGCAAAATTTAGCATTAATTACATAATATACATTTATTTATTACAGCCTATAATTGTCCCCCATACATAAACACTTATCAACCTTAAGATGCGGGTTGGCAACTGCATTTAATCCTTTTTTCTTATTACAAGGGTGACACTGACAGTTCTTAAATTATTAGTTTTATTATATCTTACCCAAAATAGTGTCCAATCGCTGCATCCGATGGACCCACTGAGAAAAGCACTTTGCCACAGATTTACTAAATAGTTTACTAAACAGATACATCACTCCCATACAAAAGCGAAAATAGCCTAAAAATCTTAATAATAATATCTGCTGTTCGCAGCGAGAAGAAAATGTACCATAATTGCGCGCAAAAAGAGTCGAAATTGTGTTGACCGCCGTGCGCCTCACGTGCAAGCGCGTCATCGCACGAATGTGCTAGGGTTGTACCTATGATGATTATTGTAATAAAACTATTTGGCGAAATAACCTTATTTTTTATTTGACAATCAATATATATCAATCAATATATATATATATATATATATATATATATATATTTATCTGAATTCTGGGTTATTAAATGTTATTGTTGAAAATATCCTAAATCGTGTAAATAATTTTAATAATCATAAGAAAAACACGAGCAAAGCAGATGAAAATCATTGGTTTGTAAAATTTGTAACATGCTGCTGCCAGGCCGATTTAGTATGGCGTTGTCAAAATGATTTAAGAATGCTTTTTTGACTCTGACACCTATCCACTGCACAATAATTACGTGGTTTCGGCATTTCGACGAGTAAGCGCGGTGCAAGTGCTGAGGCGGGCGTGCGGCAGCCCAATGTCGGTTGTATCGTAGGTGATACGCAGAATGGTAGGCATATAACGTAGGGCTTTGAGCGAGTGACGGAGGCCTGACTTTGCTCACTCGTCCTTAGGGGTCTCTTCGACGGCATTTTGAAACGCAGCCACAGCTTTCTCGGTGTTCATAAAACGTTTTTTTCGAAGTTTTTCTTTTATTTTTGGAAATAAATAAAAATCGCAAGGTGCGGGGTCGCGGGGCTATAGGGCGGGTGACCCAGTAATTCCACATCTGACGTCGCAAAGTAGTGTATTGTTTGCTTGGCGATGTGTGACGACGCGTTGTCGTGGTGAAGGAGGATCCTACTGCGAGATCGTTTCTCCCGAACTTTTTCCAAGACAAGTGGCAAACAATTGTTAGTGTACCACTCTGCAGTAACTGTTTTTTGATCCTCTAAAACAATTGTTGCGTAATGACCTGTGCTTCCGATGAACGAGGCCACCATCTTTTTTTCCACGCTTCGACCTTTCTTCACTTTAGTTGGCAACTCCTCGGAAGGAAACACCCAGATAGCAGACTGTCTCTTAGTTTCAGGATCATAACAATAAATTCAGCTTTTGCCACCCGTGTAAGTATGTCGAACACAGCATTTGAGGTCATCTCCGTTAAATCTTTGAACCATTTCACGATACCAATCGACACGACTAAATTTTTGGGCCTCTGTCAAATTATGAGGTATCCACCGGGCACAAAGCTTCCTGACTGCTAAATGTTCATGGAGGATTTTGTGCACTTGATTCATACTAGATATGAGCGCCGAAGGCCAATTCCACGGTGGCGGCGCGGCGTGGCTGCCCATGGGCCTTCGATATTGTTTTATCAGGAAGTGATTTCTTAGAAAAAACTTAAAGAAAACCATATTGCTGGTACCAAAAACAATTTTATATTTTTTAATAAAGCCCTGGGGAGCCCCAGACCAGCGATGGGAACAGTATTCCATGTGAGGCCGAACCTGAGCCTTATACAGTTGTAGGCGGTGTGCCGGCATGAAATACTGTCCCGCTCTACTGAGCACGCCAAGCTCTTTAGAGGCCAATTTGGCCTTCTCTTCCAAGTGACCACGAAACTTGCACGTCACTCGATATGTCAACGCCGAGGATTCCTATACTGGCTGAGGCGACAAGGGTAGTGCATTGAAACTCCCCTCAGTTTCAATGCACCGATCACCATGCTCCGATCTGCAAGAAGGCTGGTGATTCAATTGCACAATTTCTCAGGAAGTCCATAGGAAGGGAGCTTCGAAAGAAGCGCTTTGTGTCAAACCCGATCGAAGGTCTTCGCAATGTCCAAACTAACGGCCAATGCGTCCCCTTATGCCTCCGCCCATCTATGAGTCGGATAGACCAAATCAATGTTCTGTTTCTGTTTCTGAGCGGTCGTCTTTTTAAGTCAGCCTGTAGGATGAAATCGCGATGTTAGTGTGAGTGGCATCACACTCCGGACTAGACACGGGTCTGATGAGTCAAGAGGGGAGTGGACAGAGACCTGATAGCTATTTGAATGAGAGGTCAGTAGAAGGGCCAACAGTGCATGATCTTCCACATCTAGAATCCGCGTAGGCGAAGTTTCCAATTGTTTCAGACCATATGCCAAGGCAAAATCATGAACAGATCTTCTCGCAAGTTCGGTTAAATGTGGACCTAGCCATTCGACGTGGTGGGCGTTACAATCGCTGAAGATCACGATCTCTGCGGATGGGATCTGTTGTAGCAACAAATCTGTAGCCATTTGGACGTGATCGTTTGTACTCCGGGTAGGAGAGATACAAAGTATCAGCCGGAGAGGACACCTGCGTCTCGGTCAGAAAGAGCAAGGCCGGCTTTGCCGTCTCGAGATGGTAGTGGACGGCGTTTAGGTTCGAGGGAAGTCCCCTGATGTTGCAAAAAGTCACGTGGCAGGGGTCGATTTGGCTTTGTTGCTTTGCTTGCCGTTTGCTAGTCTTGAGCAGAATTTTGCTTCCACTTCCCCCCAGAATACGCGGGGCAGCCTGAGAACCTAAGAGTGGTAAATCCCTCTTCAGGAGTGGACTAGCTTGGCTGTGGACACTCAGCAAGGGATTCTCCATTACCAGGGGTGTTGGTACCCTCCTGGGGTAGTATTACATTTAATTCAGCTACCATGTTGACGGGGAACTCAGAACCAGATCTTCCACTCCACGTCGGTAGTCTGTGAGGTTGTGGTACCATCCCGGCTTGAGCCGGCCTATACGTGCAACAGTCGAAGTTGCTGCCATTGTGAACACCACAAAATGATTCACATTCACTCGGTGAATAATCGACTCGACTGAGTGAGCGACGACGTGACGATCTAATGCGGTGGGGCCACATGTGTGAGCGGGAAAGGAAGTCGCGACTCGCGCCGGCGCCGCGCTCACATCTAATTCATACCGATGCCTAAGCTTGTCCGAATGTACTGATAAGTCATTCTTTTGTCAGTCTCTATCATACGCCGTTGATGCTGATGCCGCTGATGTTATCTTCAGTCGTCGCCGTAGAAGGCCGGCCCTCACGCAGATCATCAGTGAGATTAGTGCGACCACATTTAAACTCATTAAACCAGTTGTAAAAAGTGGCACGAGATGAGGCATCATCGTGAAAGGCTAATCGAAGTCTATCGTAACTTATTTGTTGACTTAAATGACATCGAATGTCTTAAAAAATCATGGTACGAAAATTTTCTCGCGTTAAATTCATGCTGACGTGATACAGACAATTTTCAATCTGCCGTCAAATCGTAAACAAATGACAAATTAATAAAATACATACACAATAACATTTGCAAAGAGTTTCATTTTCAAAATTTGAACCTATGTTTTAATATATTGTTTACAAGTGGCCAGTTCTAAAAACTTTCATTGTCGCCCTCGTAGGTAGACGCTGATGCCTGTCTGCTGATGATGATTTTTTGTTTTTGTTACCCCCACTAGAAAGTGCTCCTGTATGTATTGGACAGTGTTTATATACATAAATTTTACAAGGACAAACATCTAGATCAGAAACAATTATTTGTTAGTGATACAAATACATGTTTCGTTCGGGATTTGAACCCGCGGCCCTCAGCGCCGTAACTCATTACTAAGCCACTGGGCCACGGAGCTATATGCTCATTTGTTGCCCTCTGTAATCACTAATCACTTAGTGACTTATTTCGTGGATATTCTAACTACTTGGTCAATATTATAATTGTTATGTTTCAGATTTGACTGAGGGTGCAAAGAGCATGACTTTGTCTGAGGACACAGAGAAAAATGAGAAGCAGCGCATGGATCTTTTCTATGCTTTTGTGAAGCAACGCGCAGACTCCGCTGCCGTAGAAGGAAACAAGGCTATTAGCGAGATTGTGCACGAGGCTGAACGGTAAGATAGATTTTATGAAAAAAAAATCTTATTTTTGTATTGTTTGATTGATTATATTTAAGCAGATTTTCATATTTTAGTTTGTGATCTGAGAGATAAAAATAATAAAAATATGGTGCTAAATGATGAAGAAGCATTTAGTTTTTCTGCAGTAATATTAACGAAATTATTTATAAAAATATTAATTATTGTTGTTCTTGTCAAATATTTCTTTTTTTTTTAAGAAGTAAAGAGGTGGTATCAAAATGTTATCGTGGGTCCGTTGCTCCTTATTATACACCAATGATATAAAAGTGTTGACCATAATTATTAGAATGAGGACCTACTTTGCAGAAATCCATTATATTGAAGTTGTTACAACTTAATTTGCTTATTTTCGTGTAATGAAATAAAATGATGTGTCTTGCTCAGTTTGGAGAGCATTTTTCACCAACAATTCCAGCCATGTGTCATATATGTATATAAAATGACAGGGAGAGCAAGTGGACTATAGACCTTAAAATTATTGGTTTGATTGACTGACACTACCGTAATGTGGCTTGTATGACGTGAGTGATTGTTGTATGCAAAGAAAGATAGGACAACTTAAGGAACTGTTAGGCTATTTGCAGAAATTGCGGCAGTACAATTTAACACGAATTATAGACTATTCTCTTGCTCTAGGGATTTTCTTGATTACTTTTTTCTTGATGTTAACTTAACTGCCGCTTGGGAATTGAATGAACCCTGGCAATCAGATTTGCTCTCCTTTTATTCGTGTGCCGGGGGTCTCGTCGTAGGTGGTCACGCGGGGTCATCAAGTGTCGTCCGGGTGGGGTGCGGAGTGTGCGGGGTGACAATATGTAATGAAATGCATAACACACGCACGCGCTCGCATACACACACCCATTCATGCACGCACCCACACGCGCACACACACAAGTACTCTGACACACACACGCACACGTACACGCACCCACACACATACACTTGCGCGCACGCACCTAAACACACTGTATAGTTGTAGCACAAATAGGTCATCTTGACAGGGTAAAGGCCACGCTTTCACAGAATACCAGCTTAAAATAGTAGCTTATGCTGCTGTGCTTCGTGTGCTTCGTGTGAGAACCGGAGACACTTTTTACTGGAAAAGAGGCATTTCTTTTAGTCTTTACGGCTGACAACGCATCTGCATTTTGATTCGCAAACGAGGATAAATGTAGATGTCTATGGGTTACAGCAATCACTTACCATCAGATGGACTGTGCTTGCTTGTCATCCTTTTCCTATAAAAAAAAAATAAGTATATTGGTGTGGTGTGGTGCGGCGTGGCGGTGTGCAGGCTGGAGGTGCGCGAGAAGGCGCCGCTGGTGGTGTTCGAGGTGCTGGTGCGGCCCGCGTCGCTGGCGGCCGACGTGCGGCGCCAGCGCACGCTGCTGCTGCGCCTCACGCGCGCTGAACCCCGCGCGCAGCGCGCCGTGCTGCACGCGCTCACTGCGCTCTGCGCGCACCACCCCACGCTGCTGCCCAAGGTGAGCCCTACTGCTGCTGCGCCTCACGCGCGCTGAACCCCGCGCGCAGCGCGCCGTGCTGCACGCGCTCACTGCGCTCTGCGCGCACCACCCCACGCTGCTGCCCAAGGTGAGCCCTACTGCTGCTGCGCCTCACGCGCGCTGAACCCCGCGCGCAGCGCGCCGTGCTGCACGCGCTCACTGCGCTCTGCGCGCACCACCCCACGCTGCTGCCCAAGGTGAGCCCTACTGCTGCTGCGCCTCACGCGCGCTGAACCCCGCGCGCAGCGCGCCGTGCTGCACGCGCTCACTGCGCTCTGCGCGCACCACCCCACGCTGCTGCCCAAGGTGAGCCCTACTGCTGCTGCGCCTCACGCGCGCTGAACCCCGCGCGCAGCGCGCCGTGCTGCACGCGCTCACTGCGCTCTGCGCGCACCACCCCACGCTGCTGCCCAAGGTGAGCCCTACTGCTGCTGCGCCTCACGCGCGCTGAACCCCGCGCGCAGCGCGCCGTGCTGCACGCGCTCACTGCGCTCTGCGCGCACCACCCCACGCTGCTGCCCAAGGTGAGCCCTACTGCTGCTGCGCCTCACGCGCGCTGAACCCCGCGCGCAGCGCGCCGTGCTGCACGCGCTCACTGCGCTCTGCGCGCACCACCCCACGCTGCTGCCCAAGGTGAGCCCTACTGCTGCTGCGCCTCACGCGCGCTGAACCCCGCGCGCAGCGCGCCGTGCTGCACGCGCTCACTGCGCTCTGCGCGCACCACCCCACGCTGCTGCCCAAGGTGAGCCCTACTGCTGCTGCGCCTCACGCGCGCTGAACCCCGCGCGCAGCGCGCCGTGCTGCACGCGCTCACTGCGCTCTGCGCGCACCACCCCACGCTGCTGCCCAAGGTGAGCCCTACTGCTGCTGCGCCTCACGCGCGCTGAACCCCGCGCGCAGCGCGCCGTGCTGCACGCGCTCACTGCGCTCTGCGCGCACCACCCCACGCTGCTGCCCAAGGTGAGCCCTACTGCTGCTGCGCCTCACGCGCGCTGAACCCCGCGCGCAGCGCGCCGTGCTGCACGCGCTCACTGCGCTCTGCGCGCACCACCCCACGCTGCTGCCCAAGGTGAGCCCTACTGCTGCTGCGCCTCACGCGCGCTGAACCCCGCGCGCAGCGCGCCGTGCTGCACGCGCTCACTGCGCTCTGCGCGCACCACCCCACGCTGCTGCCCAAGGTGAGCCCTATTGCTGCTGGTTCATTCTTCATATCATTGTCGTTACAGTCCTGCACAAGTTCACTGCTGAACATTAGTCTTTTCCAAACAATGTCACAAAGCATGCTCCTGAGGAACCTGCATCCATTGACTTTTTGCATGTGTTATCGGCTCGTTACTCGCATTTTGTGGGGAGGCGCCCTACCTTCGCCTACCAGTACGAGGTTACCATTCGAGAACCTTTTTTCTTTATAGGTTCTCGATTCTTCGAACTATATAACCGGTCCATTGCTACTTTATGTTATTTAATTCATTGGACTAAGTTGGTCACTTTGGTTCTACTTTGAATATCCTAATTTTTAAGTATATCATGTAGAAAAATCTTGAGCATAACTTTTTCTTTCCGTAGCTCATTGAACTACCTTGAGTTTTTTCATATAGCCAATAGTGAAAGAATATGTCGCAGTTCCATAAGTCATCACTGGCAACATGCATTGGTTGTACAGTCTCGTTTTCAAATTTTGAGGTATACCTAACGAGAAAATGTAAAATTTATAGCTAATGCTAATTATATAAGCTACCATGACTTACTGTTCGAATAAATGTTTAGTAAATTGTAATACAAAAGAGAGTTTACAATTAGGAAAGAGATGTAGGACTATTAGTTGAACTATAATTAGATTACTTTTATACTTAAAAAAGAGGAATTGTTTAATTGTGAAAAAAATGGTTTTTTTTTTTAAATATAAGTAGTTTAACATATTATTGTACCGTGGGTGCATGTGCGTGTGCGGTGCAGGTGCCGGCCATCCTGAAGCTGCTGTACGACACGGACATCGTGGACGAGCGCGCCGTGCTGGAGTGGGCGGCCAAGCCGTCGCGCAAGTACGCGCCGCGCGAGCTCGTGGCCGACGTGCGGCGCCGCGCGCAGCCCTTCATCGACTGGCTGGCCGAGGCCGAGGAGGACAGCGACGACGCGCACCACGACGACCTCGACGTCGAGTACGACGACCGCGCGCCGCTGCGCGTCTCCGCGCCCGCGCCCGCCCCCGCCCCGCCCGCCGCACGCCCGGACGACGACGGCGAGGACGACGTCGACATCGACGCTATCTAAGTCGCTTCTCACGTCAGCGGTTGCATGCGCTGCGGTGAAGCGGTGTTGACATCGCTTTCGAGACACACTGTGTGACGTGCTTAAAGTACACACACACACACGCGCATACATACATACATACACACATATACGACGTTATTTAAGTCGCTTCACACGTGACCGTCACTTTGCTAACGGTTGCATGCGATACGGTGTTAAAAATTAATTAGCCAAAATTCGCGTAACAAAATAAAATTACATGTCTTACCTACTCTTCAAACTAATTAAATAATTAATTTTTGAAATAAAAAACATCATTACGCGAGGACGACGTCGACATCGTCATCAACGCGATTTAAGTCAATTCACATGATATCGCGTAACATACGGTAAATAATTTGACCTCAAATATCAAATTCCACACTATATTTTAATTTACATATTTTTCTTTATATAACAAAAAATCCACATTTAAAAGTGAAGTACCTGTTTTATATATGTGATTTCCGATATGATTATCTACACGTGTTTAATAGAGGGATCTCATTATCAGAACACGAAAAAATAACATTAAATATATTAAACCAATTAATAAACCAGGGCACTATTCATAAAGCTCAATTAATATCAACTATGACGTAATCAATACTGAATTAAATTCCATCATTTATCATATTGTCTGAGCATAACCTAACCTCTCTTTAATAAATAACGAAATAGAAAGTTCATAAAGCCCGGTAATTACAATAATTTTTATAGTATTACCTACTCGTATTGAACATTTTGCTGTCTGAAAATTATGAATAATGCCCTATTAATAAATTAATCCATTACAACATATTAATAAGCTTATTGCAATAAGATTAAGCATCGGTGCACACATAATATAGCGATGTCAACATCGATGGCAAAAAATATTACGCGCCACTACGAAGGATAATTTACTTGCAACTTTAACAAAAATCTTTGCTGTATTGCATGCAAACCCTGAGTCTACCGCCAAGCAACATGTCTTTGAAATCGCTACAGCACTCATATGCATATGGGGACATGTTTCGCATTAGGTACGTTGCAATAATTTTAAAAACGAGTCACAATAATTGTCTATATAAACCTTCAAACTTTTGAAAATTATTACAATAATTCCTCACTGCCATCTGCGAAACATAATTTTTAAACCATCTACAAACATAAATTAGCTGTATTGATTAATAATGATTCTACGTCGCTATTATAATATACATGATGATAAATGAAGATAAGTGAACAGTAGTCATTAATAAAATTTCGATGTCAAATCCTAATGTACGTAGGGATATACATATTCTATAATCTGTATCCGTGGAATGAGGTCATGAATTTATTAAATGTAACTTATCTTAAACCTCCAAAGATGTCCTCATTGCTCAAGTGTATTAAATGTCAAAATATGCGTCGAAAATCAAACTTTAAATTGGATTATAGACATCATACTAAAATATAATTCTTCATTATAGAAGTGCAAAATGAATTGCGAATATAAGTATGAATTTATAAAACTGTATGACGGAAATATCTAATTGTATTTATTGTGCAATAAAATTCCCAACTACCCCCTAGATTGTAACATAATCTGTGCAGTTATAAGTAAATTCATAAGTAAATTCATAGATTTAATAAAACTAGTTTAGTCTATGTCCCCACGTCTACGCCTATATCCAATATAAACGCTTCGAAACTAGCCCTTGTAGCACTTTTTCTATCTCCAAAAATATTGTAATTATTGTTCCTATATATAGTGTTTTGAATATTTTGAATGTTTTCTGTTATTTTTATTTTGGTATAATTTTTATGGTCCAATAACATCATCGTGTACGCGCTTGATCTTTTTGTATGGTGAAATTTCGGAGACCTGCAAAATTTACGAAAATCTAGCGTATTGAATAGGGCTGAACGGTACCGCTTTTAACCGGTTTTTATATTTTATTGGTAGTATTGATTTTGCTCTGGCAATTCTATTATAAACGCTCGCTGCTGACGCGATGCTCTATTAATTTTGTTCCAATGATGAACTTGTCACAAAACTTTGGACGTGACTAGTAATAGGACGCTACGATACCTTGATTTAATGCTCTAATCGAATGATGTTTATATGAAATGTTTAAATGATTTTAGTATTAAATATAGTGAATGGGCAATCGCGCGCGAATGAGTGGTGGACGAAACTCAGTTACTGCCTAATGTTTTATTGGTTAATTATTTGGATTTAGATCCTGCATTAATTTCCTTAATCTTAAACTTTAAGGTGGAAGCTCCAGGGTAGCCGCAAAATTCAAATTTACTTGCGTTTTTTGGAATTTGCAGGTCAGGGTTTTTCCAGAAAAACTCATTCAAAGGGCTAATATGAACTTTCAGGGTTGTATTGGTGATTTTAATGATAATAATTCTGTAAACACAATCGGTACGGTCGCGAATCATATGTTGTTAAATACACAACCTAACTCTGACCTGCAAATTCCAAAAAACGCAAGAAAATTTGAATTTCGCGGGCCACCCTGGAGCTTCCACCTTAACAATAATTCTCTAATATCAGTTTACATTATCGGAACCTGTACTCATTCCCGCGCGTTCTTGTTACTTGTACATGTGTTTAGGTTAGTACGCGGCGGAGCGTTTCCTCTATTATTAACTATTATAAATAGAATATTTTGAAATTGCCACCTGACAATTTTATTAGATTTGTTTTGTATTCAATACATTTTGATTCTAAAAAAAAGTTTTGTTTTATTTATCTGTTTTATTTAGAAGTCTAAGTTCCCCACGTGATAAGATTTTTAACTGGAAATGAGGCTTTCTATTTTAGTACTGAGGGGTGACAAGGCATCTGCACTTTGGTTCTTAATCGAGGATAGATGTAAGAGGTCTATGGGCCACAGCATCCACTTAACATCAAGTTAAGCTGAGAACAAATTATCGGACGCGTCCGTCAGCCGCGGCTGACAGTCGCGGCTTAGCGGTGTGCACGGTAGTTAAGACGGCGTCTTCGGACGCCTCACTTCAGTCATTCTATAAAGGTGTTTCAATCGAGAAACATGACAAGCAGCGACAGCGAGGACGAATTTATAGAGTTAGCGGCAGCTGCCTTATGTTGACCTCCAAAAAAAAGAAAAGGAGTGTTTGGGTCCATGATATTAATGTAAAAAGACTCGAGTATGGTGAATTTCATACATTGTATCCAGACTTACAAAAAGATGATAAACGTTACAAAATGTACTTAAGAATTAATGAAAACCAATTTAATTTTCTGCTTAGTCTGACTGAAAATGATGTTTAATTCAGCAGCAATTTGCTCCCTCACTTCCTGTTTTAAAGTAGCATTTATGTGGCCACGAACACATTCAATTAAATTTTCTTCGTCTGACATGTCGCGAGCGCGGTCGGTTCGTTTGTGACGCTCGAAACGTCCGCGGACGAGTCCCGTGGCCTGTGCACATCGTCCGAGGACGCACAAATATCCAGCCGGCTAGATTCTGTTCGGACGTCTGAACGCTCAAGGACGACCCAAGGGCACGTCCGCGTCTTACGACCGATAGTTTGCACAGTGTAGTATTAAATGTACTGGCTAGATTCAAATAAGCCGCGTCTATCAGCCGCGGCTGACGGACGCGTCCGATAATTTGTTCTCAGCTTTAATCGTGTGCTTGTTTGCTACCGTAATTCTATAAAAAAATACGGCTGACCCTGCAGGCCATCCCTTGATCTTCCCGTTATGTTCGATCTCAAAATGCTCGACAAATATTTTTACGAACTAAGAGTTAACTCATTACATATAAACGTACCGAACAGAAATTTAGAAGTTATTATTAAAAAATTCCAGTGTGTTATACACTGGAATTTTTTGACAATGATAACCTTCGAACTGATCAACCGATTTCCATGTAATTGCTGGCAATGGACGAGGTATTTAAAAAACAATAATGAAATCTATTATAAAAAAAACTATAAGACTATAAATTCAAAAGTTGTGTAAAAAAAATTTTCAAAAGGAAGGATCATCATCATTATTACAGCTCTTCACAAAAGTCCACTATATAAGACTATTTATTTAACATAGTCGTCAACAACTTCGAGCTTAGTGCTCCCAACAATTACCGGCATAGGGGTGACATAGACGTTAAACATTTTTGTTTTGTCCATGTTCATCTTGGACCTATCCGTTGGGAGACACTATTGAGGTCATTGAGAATAGTGCTTAGGTCCTCCACACTTAAAAGATAAATCTTAAAGTATTAAAGGGATAACAAGACTTACTTACAGTAAGCTTCAACGATGTTCGTTACAGCTGTAACTTGGTTGGAACACTAAACACAATTTAATTAAAATACTTATGACTTTACTTATTTTACATATAGAAATTAATCCTATTTAACAACTGTAACTCAAAATTGAGGTGGATATTATCAATTTACAATATTTAATTTTTAAAAATAGTTTGATATTTTTTTTACTACTTTGGCAACTTCCAGTGGATTCTACCAGCGGCAAGTATTTCATGAGAGTCACACAGAGTATTGACTAGTTTCCGTTTCCGTAAATGCGCTTACTAAGCTTTATGTTACGAACTTACTTATGTAGTTAATTTAGAATGAATTAACATTATAATAGTTTTACAAAATTAATGTAATAAAATGGGTATAGGTAAGTGGGGGTATTTATTTTGTTGGGTAAATATTTTACAACTTGTTACCGGGGCAGCCACAGAGTCAAAACAAAAAAAAAACACCATTTTTGGTTTTGGTTGGACGATTGGATTTCGTAGTTTAGTTTAATAAATAAAAATACATTTATTTCTCAACAATACTATTTCATTAATTAGTGGTGAAATAACCCCAGAGAGTAATTTAGGACCTATACTCATGTTGGTGTTTCGCTCTTACCCTGGTACTTAACATTTTTACAGTACTATGCCACTATACTACGCGAAAACACCATAATTATATCTTTTTTTTGTTTATTGATCAACCAACATTTGTATCATTCCT